GTGTTTTTTTTTTTTTTTTTTTTTTTTTTTTTTTTTTTTTTTTTTTTTTTTTTTACATCTTTGATGTCGTCCCTCATGGCACTCATGCCGCCGTTCATCCCTTCTAGAACTTGGAGCAGCTGAGCATTGGATACCTCAGCAGCGGCCATTGCACTGCTAGGAAACGAGACAGGAGTCTGGATACACAAACTGGGTGGCAAAATGCCTCTGCGCGCGAAAAAGGGTCAACCCCTGACCCCGGTGTCGCGGGCCGAGTCGGGAGCAGCCCTGCTCTGACCTGGTCAGCTGCCTTGAGCCAAAATGGCCACGGAGGAGGAGGGGGAGAAGGAGGAGGAGGAGGAGGAGGGGAAAAGAGGGGAAGACATCCGCGGTCACGGACGGCGGCCAAACACAAAAGCGCAGTCGAGTCTTAGGGCCAAATATCTAGCATTGGTCAATCGCAAACCTCCCGGTTCCCCAGCCATGGCCGGGGGAGGAAGAACGGCGCGAAACAGAAGAGGGAGGGAGAGGAGGCGAACCGGCAGAGGGGAGGACGAAGAGGCACGAGTCAACTAGTCCACACAGCACTTACTATATTCGCCAATCCAGCGTGTGCCGCACAAGACTCGCGCGCGCACTGCGCCAAAGCCTCCTGCGCGTCGGCGGTCTGCCCGTGGCGCGCGGTGGTCTCCGCAGCGTGCACCGCGCATGTCGCAAGGGCACCTCGGGCCAGCTCGCTGGCCGTATCTTCGCGGAGCGGAGGGGTCAACATAGGAAAAGCAGACAAACGCTCCCGAGGAGGAGCGGGGATGAAGCCCAGACGCCTCCGGCTAAAGTCCGCGACCCTCGGGCATAAAAACATAATGTCGAAGGCTGTCCTCGGCAGCTCCGCAGCCGAACGCGCGCCCCATGCGACGCTGCATGCGGTGGCTGGTGTTCCAGCCATTGCAGAACGCCCGGAAGCTGGCCGCCCAAACGCGAGGAGGCACCGCATGCGCCAGCCCGCGGAGGGCGCAGGTGGCTCGCGCCAGGCGGCGACCTGGAAGCAATGGGATACATAGGCGAGCAAGGTAACGACTAAAATGGCGCGCCCCGCCCGTCGGGGACGGCCCCTGCAAGGGAACGCGGCAACGTTTCTGTCAGTGCTCCCGCGGGATGGGCTCAGCGGCGCCCCCCTGCATCAGCTCTGCAATCGACATCCTTGCGCTCGTCGCTGTCTGCTGGAGTTGCCGGCGGGCCTGGTGGAGGTTGGCGAAGAAGTCGCTGTCGCACCAGTCATTCCAGACTGCTTGCCGCATCACGTAGCCGGAACTCGCCCGAACATCCTACAACGCCCAGGCGCGGCGCCGACGTCGACCCGCCGCGCGCGAAGTTCCCCCGCTGGTAGACGTTTAGAAGGGGCAACCTCCTCGCCCAAAAGATCTTGCCATGCAAGTGCGACTCGACGATGTCACTCCGGATTCCCCATAACGTCGCCTGGCAGCGGCGCGCCCTCGAACGAGGAGTGCCAGGGCAGAGTTGGACGAAAACTTACAGCTCGGTGTCTAGATAAGCCGGGCGTCCATGCCAGCGCCGCGCGCGCGTCAGCTTCCGGTCGACGCCCTCCTCGACGCTCTGATTGCAGTAGGACCTGTCGAAGCGGGAGCGGGAAGTGGGGGAAACGCAAGTCATTTCAGGCTGGCGAAGTTCATGCAGACCGTGTGGACACTCAGCAAGACGACGCCATCTAGCCTCCCCACTGCGGTCCCGCGCGCCCGTCGCAGCTCCAGAATTGACGCGAAGACGGTCCTCTGGCGCGGTCGCGCAATTGAAGTCGCCCCCGAGGAAGGTGAGGACCCGTTCCTGCGGCAAAACGTTCTGAGCGATACGCCGCCGCAGCGCGCCCCGGAGCTCCGCGAAGGTGGGGGCCCGGCCAAGGTTGGAAAGGCCAGCCGCGTCGACGTCCACCTGGGATGGGGTCGCCCCGGTGTGAACGCAAGCAACCATGATGTCAAGCGGACCCTCTTGACCGCGCAGGCGGACCACTGCAGCGCGGCCGGGCGCGAGAATCTGCCATCTAGGACGCCCTCGGAAATTCGCCAGGAAGCTGTTCTTAATTGGCACGCCCACTCCAGCACTGCCGGGGGTGGGGCGAGGAACCCGCCAGGAAGTGCAGTCTGATGGATTGCGCCACACTGCGTTCCCGCCAGCGGTGCCGCGCGTCTCTGTCCAGAGACCGATGTCGTGGGCGGCCATGAGCTTGCGGGCGCAATGCGACTTCGTGCGACGACGACCGGCATCCGCAGCAAATAAAGCTCGACAGTTCCACGTGACCGCATAGAACTCACCTGGGCACGGGCTGGCCCCCAGAGGAGGCCGAGGTCGCGCGCTCGCGGGGGGGCGCTGGTAGGAAAGCGCAGAGGACGCCGAAGGTGCCAATTGCACGCCATATCCGAAGGAACGGCGGATCTTGTTCCGCAGCTGGATCTGGCACGGCACATCCTCGTGCGAGTCGGGCGGCGTGCAATCGAGAATCGCTGGTGAAGTAGCGGATCAAGTGGGAAGGCAGGTAGACGAGGTAATAGCCGGTCAGACGAAGTACAAGCCATGAGCGAAGACGAGTGCAACGAAGTGGTCGACTCCAGATTGCCCGGGCGGCTGCGGCACGGAGAGCACGGCCCCTGGGAACCCAGGCGGAACTCAGAGGCGACGTTCACAAGACAGTAAGTTGAGCCCACGCGAGTAAAAATCTGAATTCCCAAAGCATTCGTGGAGCTAGTCGCTACGCGGGGGCGGGGGGGGCCGCGCCCTGCCCCCCCGCCGCCTGTTTCCCGAAAGCTGCTCGGAGTCGCGGAGGTCGTCGGCCACGGCGATGGACAGATAGCCGAAGCCCACGTGAAGGACCTGCCCATTCAGTGCGTTGAAAGCCTTCCGAGCCTCGCCGGGGGGAAAAAGATGCAACCGAGCGCGGCCGGGAGGCGCAGCAACATCCCGAGAAGCGAGGTGCACCCATTGCCCTGGTTGCGGAGCCTGCTCTGGATCCGCAGGCTGGAGGTCCAGACCTGAGACCGAGCACGCATGAGTGATCAACTGCTTGATCACAGTCCCGTCGGTGTCCCCGAACTACCCGTTCACGCGGACCTCCGTGACGTAGTTCATCAACACTGAAGCCGTCTGGGGTCGGCCCCGCCGCCGGCGGGAGGCGCCGAGCGCCGCCGAGGTGGCCGCGGGGGTCGCCCACGGATGGCCTCCAAAGCGTCTAACCTTATGCTTGATCATCGTGATCGCGTGGTCTGGATCCTCCTGGAGCGTCCTATCGAGCATCTCAACCCACGTCGCGGCGGAAGCCGCAGTGTAGATGAGCACCTTGTCCGAGGAGAGGTAGAACGCTTGAGAGCATAGAGGCCAGGCGCGTCGCAAGGCGAGCGGACTGTGGCACTCCATGATATTGGGGTCGGGGGGGGTGCAGAGGTCCCTGTGGCCCACGTGCATCTGTGAGGTCAGCACCTGACGCCGCAGAAACCGAATGACCAGCTCAGTGGAGACCTCGGATAGGATGCTGGGAAGAAGGATTTCCACCAGCAAGCGACGCACCTCCGGCGTGCTCCCCAAACTCCTCCGGGGCTGCCGGCAAAACAACGGCACGGGGGTGGAGCGAACTTCCGGGCCAGCCATCTTGCGCATGAATGTGGACAAAAGCTCGGCGGGGACGTCAACCCACAAGGAGTTCACCGCGGAGATCTGCACGAGCGGCCGTAGTGGGGATAGGATCGTAGGGGCCGCGCGTGGGCCCTCCGGCGAGATCGTAAAGCACGCCAAGCCTTGACGAACGTGTCGGAGAACGGAACGGCCAGGGAGGATGTACTCCACCGGCTGCAAGATGAGGTCCACGTTGCGAACAAGAGCGGCGAATTCTGGCTTTTGCCCAAGAAGAGAGTGCCACCAGAGATCAAATAACTCCCCGGGAGAGCTCACACCAGGAAAGTGAGGAAGAGGTACCAAAAGCGTGAGGCTCAGCGGACGTAGCTGTGGATCTGGCTGTCGCAAGAAAGCGGCCATGAGCCTTTGGAGCGCATTCGAATCGGAAGGCGCCCAAGCCAGTACTCGCTGACCTCCCATCTTGCCCAGCGCGGGCGTGCCACCTCTCCCCATCATGTCCGCAAGCTGCCGATGCTGATCGACCGTCGCCGAGTGGTCCTGGGAGGAGGCGTTCAGAAGCTGTGACCACTGGGTGGCTCCCATAGCCTGGGTGCAGGCGGGAATCGAACGAACAGCCATCAGAGCGGTCTCACCAAGCTCCTTACACCTTGGGAGTTTGGAAGGACGAAGCCGGCGGCGTTCACGGAGCAACTCGGATAGCTGTTCCTCGCACCGGCGGCTGGCCTCAGAGAAGGTAGCGGCGGCCGCCGACGCGCTGTCTTTATCCACCTGCGGCCAAGTAGACTCCGAAGCTAGCGAACATAAAATAGTCGCGGTGCGCGTGCGGGTGACGATGCACTGCTCCGTCGGCTCCGGGCCGTCTAGGGGACCGAAGCCGAATATATTCCATGGGTTGGAGGCGGAGGAGTTGAAGGCGAGCTTGGTGAGAATCGTCTGGAAATCGTCCCAACAGTTCGGGATCTGGATGGCAAGACTATGTATGTCTATTGGCTGCGTCATGGTGCTGGCCTGGACCAACGAGAAATGGCGGAGCACCTCATCGTCCGCAAGGTCCTGGAGCCATTCGTCCGGGATAAAAAACGCCCCAGTGGCAGCCTGGGCGCCGGGGGGGGGCGTTTATCTGCAACGCTGCCATGACCTGCGTGGCGCCGGAGTTCTCGTTCTCTGTGTCCATGCCATCAAGGCTGTCGACGCCAGGACCTTGAGCGCCTTGAACAGGATGTGCAAGTCGAGGGTCTCCCGCATGTACGATGCCAGGTGGCGACGATGGCGACGAATCAGCCGTTGCCGAGCCGGGGGAGCCACCATGTGCGGCGCAGACAGCCAAGCCCAGCAGCGCCTCGCCCTGCACCCCATGGCGGAGGCAAACCTGGCACGGCGCCATGGCACAGGGAAGGTCGGGAGTGCAACGGAGGAAGTGCAGAAGAGCCAGAATGCTTGAGCCCTTGAGCCTTGAGCCAATTTATAGGAACATACGTAAACCACATAGGATTGGAGCCACAGGAAAAGGACAATACATAGGAACGTACGTACAGCACTAACGAGTCGTGCCCCACGAGAGGCCTGATCTATAGGAACATATATGAAACCGCTCCAGACATCCTCGCAATCTGGGCTCCCTGGGGTGCGAAAGCCAGCGCCTCGCATGCGACATCATCCAAATCTGTTCCGAAAGTGAAGGATGTTGGGTCAGGAAACACGCATACCGCTCGAGATATCCCCGCAATCTGGACACGAACGGAGACCGTGCCACACCCCTGGCGCCCCCCCATGTAGGTGTGCTAAAACCGGCGAGCCGCTCAAGACATCCTCAGAATCTGCTCTGAACCCAGACGAGCCCGGCCACCAAAACCAGCAAACCGCTCGAGACGCCCTCGTAATCTGAGCCACCTGGGGTGCGATAGCCAGCGCCTCGCACGAAACATCCTCATAATTAATCTGTTCCGAAAGCGGAGGATGTTCGCGACCAAAACAAGCAAACCGCCAGAGACATCTCCGCAATCTGAGCGCGAATGGAGGCCGTGAGATACCCCTGGCGGCCCCCCTTCAGGAGGCGCCTCGCCTGAGACATCCTCAGAATCTGTTCCGACAGCGAAAAAAATCGCGACCAAAACAAGCAAACCGCCTGATACATCCCCGCCAGTTGGGCGCGAACGGAGGCCGTGAGTGCTAAAACCAGCCAGCCGCTCGAAACGTCCTCATCATCTACGCATCGTCATCATCATCATCATCATCATCATCATCACCATCACCATCATCACCAACACTACCCATCAGCATCATCACCATCATCCTCATCATCATCACCATACTCATCCATCATTCACCATCACTCAACATAACCAACAAGGGAAGGAATGGATGATGAAGGGTCCGGCGCGGTCAGTGAACAACATGACAAAACCTCATCTTTTGGATATGGGAAATAACAAGAACCCCATTCCTTTGATATGAACAACACACACGAGCTTATATGTTTTCACATGGCGTGAAAACTCGCTGTTCCACCTCGAGACCTCAATGTCAGAGACCGGGTTAAAATTATGCAAAAAACACCCGCCGCAGGTTACACATTCGATGTGGACGTATTGGCTTTGCCCGGTTGTTGTGCGCCCCCGCGCTGGGGGCGCCCAAGCGACCAAATGTTAGATGCCCTCCTTTTTCGGGGACACGCGCACGTGAAAAACACTTGGTTCCACCTCGAGGCAACCATGTTAAATGCCCCTTCTGGGTGGCCTGGACACGGGATAACACGTGGTTCCAGCTCGGCGCCATCATGCTAGATGCCCTCCTGGATGGCCTGGGGACGTGTAAACATGTTCATCGTCGGCGGCGAAGCAGAACTGCTGCACCAGCGGTCGGGCTAAACAGGGCTACTGGAAAGCGAATTGTTGCCAAGCAGACCCCCCCCAAAGGAGCCGCGACGATATCAAAATGGGAAAATGTCCGACATGTTGCTTTCCTCAAGCTGGACCGCGGGGAATCATCATGGAACGCCCGCGCGCCATCGAATGGCCGCGCGCCGCCTGTCCATGCCACCGAATCGCGCCAGGCGCGCCGCGGAGGCGCGATCAACGCGGCCCCCGAGCCAGGCCGCCACGTGACCGTTATGGAACTCATCACTGCGATGACGTTTCATTCCGCGGTCGTTGGGCATAGCGTCCACGCGAATTTGGACGCGCGCAGCCGTCGAAGCGCAGACGGAATCGGCGCGAGCGCGCAGCCGTCGAAACGCCAAGTGCTGCCCCGGTCGCGCGGCCGATAGCTTGCGGAGAAACACCTCACAAACTGATGTGTGATGGAACGCGCCGGAGCGGGACCGACGGATCACGAGAAAGGGCCACTTTGGAGGCCCCGCATCAAGAAGAAACGCTGGAGCGCGAGCGCCGCGCGGGGAATGGGCGGGACGCCGGGAGCGGTTGGATGTCATGCCCTCGCAAGTCAAGCAAACTCTGCTTCTGGGGAGTGGCGCTCGCGGGGCCCACCGCGGGCGCGGGGGCCGCTGGCGCAGACTCTGCCGCAACCGCGGCGAGGCCCCAACGCTCTCCCCCTGGGGCCACGGCGCGCGGCTGCGCTGGTGGCGGAGAAGAGGGGCCTGACGGCAAACGTCGGCTTCGAAGCCTCAACGGCCGGCCGCGGGCGCGGCGGCGCAATCGCGAACCCGCCGCGCGAGGCAGCGCAGCCCGCCGCGAGAGCATCCTCTCCAACCGAGCGGGGATCCCCGGGGAGCCCCTGGCCCCCTCCCCGACCCCCCCGCCGCCTTTCCGCGGCGCCCTGCTCCCCCCCCTGTTTGGCCGCGAGTTGGGGCACTTTGTTGGTTCCGATGTTGCCCATTGTTTTTGCCTCCCGTCCGCGCAACACACCTTTTTGACCACGATTTTTCTTACAATTAAATCAATAAGGGAAAATCGTGTTCAAAATCGCGGGTGGTTTCGTGGGGCCTTGCAAGGGGGCGCGGAATCGTGGCCCAAAATCGCGGGCAAAATCGTGTCCGAAATCGTGGGCAAAATGGTGTCCGAAATCGCGTCGCCGAAATCGCGGGCGAAATCGTGGGCGCAGAATCGCGGACCTGCCCGGTGCGCGGGCATACCAAGCAGGCGTGCCCGCGCAACGTCAGCGACGGTAAAGAAAAAGAAAAAGGGACCGGCAGCAGCAGAAGGAGGGCCAGCAGCAGCAGCAGACGCGGGAAGAGGAAATAATGGAAGCAGCAGCAGGAGAGGAGGAGAGGAGTCGTCGAAATTGGCGCGCCTTTCCGTCGCGCGCCCCACAGCACACTGGACATGCTTGTCGGGGGACTCTCGCTGGCCCAACGGGCCAGGGGCATGCGAAGATCTCCGGCGACTGCCTCGCAGCATTTCTACTTCGCGCGCGCGCCCTTCAGGCGCCCCGAAGCGATCCAAAAGGGCCCCAAAAGGCGCCCGAGACGGTCCAAGAGGGCTCCGGGTCGTCGAACGGTCGGTCCGCAACGCCCACGGTGGCTTCCAGACGGCCCGCGACGCGCACGAGACCCCGAAAAGGCCACCGCGAGCTGGAACGATACCCGAAAACGCGATTCTGAACTTCGAAGAAAAACTTGAACAAAGAGACGAGACGGAAACAGACTGGGGGCGACACCGCTCGAATGACGCGTCGAACCGAAGGCGCGCGCAAACCGCACGCCGAATCCCCAACATCGGAGCGGGTCGGCGACGCAACAACTTCTGAACAAAGACAAACATAAACTCAAACACAAACACAAACTCGTTGCACCAATCCGCATGGGGGACGCAGCTTCATGAGAATTGCCCGGCGCGCAGAAGAGGAGACTGAGACAGGCGGGGCGGCCGCGGAGGACGAATGGGGGCACTCAGCGGCGGAAGACGTTCGACCTGAGTACGCTGGCGCGGCCAGCTTCGGCAGCGGGGACCGCGGCAGCTGACGGGCCGCGGCGCCGGGGCATCCACGGGCGATGACGAAGTCCACTACGCGGATTCAAAGGGTACGGCAAGTCGGGGAAAGCGCAGCGAAGCCGCCCAGGTGGGTCGACGAGGTACGGTAAGTAAACGAGCAATCTAGGTTTCAGACTGCCACCAGAAAAATGCTGAGCCTGTAGGGCGAAGTGCAGAGCGGCAACACCAGGCCCAGGGGCACCTCCACCCCGGGGGTAGCTGCCACCCGTGGCTGCAACGTCGGCGCCATGGCGGCGCGTGGAGAGAGGGAAAAGGCGCAGGGAGGAAGGAGGGGGGGGCAGAGAGGAGCGCCCCGCCTGCAGGGAGGTCCCCGCAGGCGGGGCGTCAGTCCAGGCGACTTGGCGCCAGCGGGAGCTGCCGGGTGGGCGGCCCATGCTGTGGCTACGCTGCGGCCAAACACGCCGCGTCGCGCCAGCGACCACACTGCGGCCACGGCCAGAGCGGCGCGGACATCAAGCGGCCCGCCGACGAAGGCGGCCGTCTGGGAGAACAGCCTGCACCAACACTGTGGTTGAAGCCGTGGGGCCACGCGCTGTCTGGGTGGACAGTACGTGGCCGGTCTGGGAGCACCTGACTGGCGCAGTAACATGTTCGAAAAGATTACGACGGAAGCCGCGGAGTGTCACGCGCTGTCTGGGTGGACAGTACTTGGCCGGTCTGGGAGTACCTAACCGGCGCAGCAACATGCTCGAAAGGATTACGGCGGAAGCCGTGGAATGCCACGCGCTGTCTGGGTGGACAGTACGTGGACGGTCTAAGGTCATCTAAACGGTGCGGCATCCTGCGTGAAGGGCCGCAGCCGAAGGAACGAGTGCCACGCGCCGCGCCCTCTGACAGAGCGTAGCGCTAGGCCACAGGCCACGCGCTTGATCTGGGGAGAGAGGCCAGAGCTGAGCTGGGGTGCCAGCGAAGTCGACCACCGCGTTGGTGACCCTGGTTGTCGGGGAGGGCTGCGCAGAGATGCCTGCTGCTCGGCGCGCGGCGCTGGCTGCTGCCCGGCGCACCCGCGATACCAAGGGCCTTAGAGGCCGGGTAGGCCTGACGGGTCGGGACGGCGCGGCCTCGATTGATCGTTGTTGGGCCCGGTGGGGCCGGCGTGTCTCCGACCTTTCCCAAACGGGTCGCGGCTTCTCCTTCATGCCAGCC